TGATATAGGTTCATCATTGAGGAATACTTCAGCAAGCTGATCAGCAACATCAGAAACTGCTTCAATTAACCTGCGCCTCTTTTCTGCAGCCATTGTCATTCCTAATGGCATTTGCACTGTAGAACTATGATGAAGAATATACCTTTCATACCCAAGCCCTACAAGAATAAGTGACATGAACCCCCAAAACTTTATTGGTTTCATATTTGTTATAAAGTAAGCCTGAAAAATTAAAAAATAATAAAACCTCCATATTTTGTCTCAAGTAAAATTGAAAAGGTTTATTTAAATTACCTCTCCTGCAGCTCTCTTTCATGCACATCCATCTGAAGCTAGAGCTCTTTCAGCACATACATGAGCATGTGCAACATTCTCAACATATGTGAAATCATACATTAATCCAAAAATCAACCACAAAATGTAAAAATTAAAATCAATTCCAATTAAATAGAGATTAATTAAAATTGTAATTGAATTTCAGATTACCTTTGATTTCCCTGCCCTTGCTGACAACTACTTGAACCATCACCGTGGTTTCCAGGGGTATTTTCGTCATTATTACATGCTCCTATGAATCTTTCTAGAGTATCTGGAACCTCCACTACCTGATCAATGTACATAAAATCCATAACCTGCAACACAAAGAGGCCATTCCCCTGCACTAAATCTGTAAAGAGAATAAGTCAGACGAATAACTTGTTGTAAAATGATGTCTAAATGGAGTAAGATATGTACAGAATAGCGAATTAGATATAAGAAATTAGCTAATAACCTTAATAGGTCAAAAATATGCTCTCACATTAAAACACCTAAACATCACACATAGGTCTGAAGTTGCATTCAGTTAACCGGTATAAGAATAGTTCGATGTGAGGTCATGCCTGCCATTTTATGGACCTCATACCTGTAAAACCTGTCAATAAATTAAAATAAGTTTAACACAACCCAATTTGAATTCACCTTCACAATATACATCAAAGGCTTGAAGAATCACAGCTAGAACAGCTGTAAAAGCTTTTATGATCATCTGTTCAAGAAGGAAGCAATATGTGTTGTGTTCATCATCAGTAAAAAAGAGCAAAAAAAAGAGAGATTTTTTTGTTCATGAGGAAACTTACATACCGTACAATTCCAATTTTGATGATTTGATGGGGCAACATCTACAACAAAGGTAGACAAATATATACCTGCAGAAAAAAATATCAAAAAAAAAGTAATTTCTATGAAATCAGATAAGCTTTAAATAAAAAACTTAACGTATCAAACAAACGACACAAACACCCCTATGAATCGTTGAAGAAGCACAATCCCAAACATTTCCTCATCTGTTTCCTGCTTTTCCTAGTCAAACAACAACCCTATCAAATTCTGTCACAAACAAATCCAAACAATCCATTTTGTTCCATTTCTGTTGAAATAAAAAAAAAACAACAAAAAGAAAAAGAAGAAGAGGATCAGGGGAGCTGCCGGAGCAGACCCCATTGACGCACCTGCCCAACCTCTCTCTTTTCCCTCCATCGTGCCTGTCGATTTGAACAACAATCGAAACACCTCTGTGAACTCAAAGAAACCACCCCCTCCCCCCTTACGGCTACTGTACTGATCTCACTCTCTCGTTTTTGTTTGGAACCAACGAAATGGAGAAGAAGGACCGATGACCTAACTGATTGTGGCGAGCCTCCATCCGACCCTTACTGTTGCTGATTTTGTTTTCTTTTTCTTCGATTGAACATCACAGAACCACCACGGGACCACCAATTTTTCCCTCCTCCCCTTCGCGATCCGCTACCGGAGCAGCCCCTTTCATCCATCACAGTTGAGGCGGAGGCAGGCCGGTGGTGCTTTTCTGGAAGAAGCAAACGCGAAATAGTAACGATGGAGAACCGGGGGAGACGATGAAGAAAGAGAAGTGTATGATTTGGAGCAGAGACTGAACCGCGTCCGACTCCACTGCGCCGAAAGACGACGTACAAAACGCTGGGCATCCATGGAGAAGCCGAGATGATGACGGTGGGAGAAGGAAAGAGAAAGAGAGAGAGAGAGTCGATATTGGATGTAGAAGGTCCTGGAAGGTAGAAATGTGGTAACCCCAGGAATATATAAATTAACAAAGTGACACAAACAAAAATAGAGGGACCGGAAATGTAATTTAAGGGACCAAAATTGGCAAACATGTCTCAGGTTTACTGTTAAAATTTTTCACAACTTTAATATATATATAATAATGAGTATGGCCCTTGAAGTCACGAATACGTAATGGACATACACATTGTTGTCTTTCAATAATCCAACAACTTCATTAGACAACAAAAGAAATGGAAGGCTATATAGGGTTTTAGGAATTCTATAAACATGGAAATCAGGAGAAGAAAATATTACTTCGAACTTGATGCTATATAATTAACCTTTGCTTTGGGTTTAAACCCTAGCCTCTTAGATCTTTTCTTCTCGTTTCTCCCTAGTTTTTTGTTCTCATGTAGCAGTCTCAATAGGAAGGTGCATATGGTTTTTTTAGAGGTAGAGGATTGGATATGAATAAACAAGAAAATGGATAAAGGAACCAAGGCAAACCGAGGGTTGCGTGGATTCCTAAGGCTGCAAGGAGTACCAACTCCGCACCATGTGGTTTGTTGTTTTGGCATTTTCACTGCACCAGAGAACACCACACCATAGGTGTGGTTTTGGTAAAAGATTTTCCCGTGCATCCCTATTACTACATTCTCTCTATCGCTTTTTTTTTCCAGTTTTTATAATATATAAATAAATTATATATACTATAAATTATAAATATTATATAAAAATTTATGGTGTTTAATTCTCTACAAAAAGAGAATAATATTTGTATAAAATATATTTTTTAAAATAAAATGAAAAATAAGGGGAATTGACACATGACAATTTCTTAGATTTTAACGAAAAAAAAGAAAATAAGGGAAAATGAGATGACGTTCATATAACATAAAAATGTGAATTATGAAAGATGTGTAAAACCTCCGGCATGGTGATTAAAATAGGTTTGACGACTTTGGTCCTTGAACTTTTTCTCTTACTCCATAATCAACCTATATTTCTCTTTTCTCTCTTTATTTAGTCATTTCATAATTTCTATTAATTATTTTATCTTTTATCTAAGTATTTTTTATGACACTTTACCCTTTTATCTTAATTTAATTGTCACTTAAACCTCCTATAGTTTGTTAGAATGTTAATTAAATCAATTTAATACATTCTTAGTTCGATCATATTCAGTGAAATAATTATTTTGTAACATTTTTTATTACTTCATTTTTAGTATTAAAATGTCTGTACAACTCAATATTGCGAGTATAACATTCTCATAAATTTTAGATGACTTTTTGATCTCCCTAAACATTGTTCTTTCGTTGCAAGCGTTGTATGCAACATTCTTCGCCTACGGTAACATAAACAAAGCAAGAACATGTACCAATCCGTTTTCTTCATCGCTTCAATTTTTCTTTCATTAAGTGGTTCGCATAACTTCTTTTAGTAGAGATAATCTTAAAGGTGCATCCTCCAAAAGCAGTAATCTTGACATTCGAATTTAACGATCATAATTTCCCGACTTCATCCACAACCCTTATACCAATTGCTAGAATTGAGGAATTCAATAAAAACACAAAACACATTCACAAAACAATTAAAGACGCGACTAAAATAAAGAACACAATGATTTAACATGGTTTACTTGATCACGGAAATCAAGTAACGCCTACCGACAAACTAAAAAGAGATTCTTCTTAATAATAGCCGCCACAAATGCTCTTTGCCTTAAGGTCACATTTGTACACAGTGGATTTATCTATAGAGATGAGGTGATCTAAGATTGTTGTAGGTTGGGCCTATGAAACACCACAGACTCATTTGACCCATTGATCGAGCACCACCACCCTTCTTCATTTAGCACTGTAATTGTAGTATGTCGGACACCTAGTGCCCTGCAACTACATGTGCAACCATACTCCCGATCCTTACACCGCAGTTACCCCTATAGCCACTCGATAACTGCCCCATAATTGCGTTCTTACTCCACAGCTGCATGACCCCATGTTTCGTCACTGTAGTGGTAAGAAGGTTACTATGAAGATCAACTCTACAAGTAAACCATGAAATTCAAACTTTGACTAAATTTGCAATTTTTTGTAAAACAGATGGACGTCATTGATTTTTATAATTTACACAAATCATTTTGAAACTTCAAAAATAAGACCAAAATTACAAGTCGATTTTTATGGACCAAAAATGTAATTTACTCAAATATTGATAAAAATATGACAAGATGCATGGACGATTCTTTAGACATTATTTGTATTTGAGGTACCAAGTGTGGGTACATAATATCAATTCGTTAATGCATGTGTCTATCATTATACTAAACTTTTAGTTTCAATATTTTGTGATATTTTCTGGAAAATTCTTGAATACGTCTCGTGTAAGAGTATATGATCAGTATGCTGTTATGATATTTTTCGACTCGTTTCCTCTAGATATTTGCTAAATACATAATTACAAAATATGACAGAGAAGAAGATGAACACAAGCAATCAAAAGACAAACAATGTTTCAGTATCACTTTTATTCTTTATTACACCAAAAAGATGTATATATATATATATATATATATATTTGTTCATATGTTATATATCTATCTATATATATATATATAATATATAATATTATATATATATATATAGATATATATATATATATATATATATATATCTCATATCTATATATATATATATATATATATATATATATATATAACCAGCAACATAACTCAAGTTCACTAGTAAGGAGATTGGCCATTGATGTTTCCACTAGGATAATAGCTGCAAATAACGAACCACCAACTATTATTAGTACATTGAACCCTTGCACATCCAAGTTGATTAGAATTACTCCACACCACTTGAGTATAGTGTCCCAAACATGTCCACCAGCACAAGTATTTGTGGCATAATCATAATAAGTCTTCTCAGCTACCATAAATTCACTGCTGCAGTGCCTGAGAAGGTACCACTACCTTTAGCAAGGTTCTCGCCATAAGGTCCACCAGAATTGACAAGATTGCAGTCGGCTTTCCTCTGGTTAGCATAGTTTTGAGCATACGTAGCCACAGTGGCATTCCATACAATGTTTGCGACACCCACTTCGGCACGAGCTGCATTGTGAGTATCTAAGTAATCTTGTTGGGAGTTTTGGGCATTGATGGTGTGAAGAATTGCTAGGGTAAAGAAACAAACAAGTGTAAATGAGAGTTTAAAAGACACCATTGCTATAGTTACTTTGTTGGATAACTGAAGTTTGATGATGGAGGGACATGAATTACGTATGGGTATTTATAGGATGTTATGTGATATTGGAATGACCATTTGGCATGTTCAAAGGCGAGCAACTTACGCATGCAGTTTAAGCAAAGTCGCCAAAACTTCCCCATTGGACACAAAGGCCTTTGATTTAAATCTTGAAATTACCCAAGTGGCTATTGTCATAATGATAATCACAAATTACGCCCCCATTTGGGCTTACACCATCCAATTATACCCACTAAAAATAAAACAAGTCCAAGTATGTTTACATTTGACTGAATGCTTTTAGGTATCGTAACATAACATATCGTATATTAAATATTAAATATTGCGTTTGTTTTGTAAAGAACCCAAGTGGCGTTAATGTCTTCATGATAATCACTAATTAATCCCTCATTTGGGCTTACACAATCCAATTATTCCCACTAAAAAATAAACAAGTGGCAAGTATATTTAGATTTGACTGAAAGCTTTAGTTATCGTAACATAACATATCGTATTTAATACATTGCATTTGTTTTGTATTAATATTGGAAACAACCCAAGTGGCGTTAATGTCTTAATGATAATCACAAATTAAGCCCCCATTTGGGCTTACACTATCCATTTATACCCGGTAAAAAATAAACAAGTCGCAATCGGAAGTATATTTAGATTTGATTGAAAGCTTTTAGGTATCGTAACATAATATATCGTATATAATACATTGCATTTGTTTTGTATTAACATTTGAAACAACCCATGATAATACATTGCATTTGTTTTGTATTAACATTTGAAACAACCAAGTGGCGTTAATGTTTTAATGATAATCATAATTATTGCCCCCATTTGGGCTTACACAATCTAATTATACCCAATGTTTTAAAAACCGGTTTGAACCGGCCTTTCAAATCGGTTCGACCGGGAACCAAAGAATGAAGCGGCAACTAGCATTGTTTTATGTTTACTTCTGAACCGGAGTGAAGTGGTCAGTTTTTACAAATATATGGTTGAACTGATTACTTCACACGAATGAATTGTTGAACTGGTTAAATTAATTAAATAAACACACATGGAAATGAATAATTTTCATAACGATTTTTTGTTTTTTTTTCAAATATGTTTAGATTTCTTTGAATAAAAACAAATGGTAAGTGTTATCAAGTTTTTTAATGCGTTTGTATTCTTCTAAACTATATTTTGTTTCTGTATTATATTATATTATATTTTTGATGTACATGGATTGATGTAAAACATATGTTTATGTGTTTTAAATGTATTTTGATTGATTTTGAACTTGTATTTATGTGTATTTTTAATGTTTAAACTTGTAGATGTCTATGCGTATGTAGGAAAATAACAAAAAAAAGATGAAAATTATAAAACCGGTTGAGCCGACGGTCGAACCAGTTGAACCGGGAACCGATCACCATACCGGTTAAACTAAAAAACTAGTTTTTGAAACATTGATTATACCCCTTAAAAAATAAACAAGTCTCAAGTACATTTAGATTTGAGTGGAAGGTTGTAGGTATCATAACATAACATCACATATATAAAAGAATTGTATTTGTTTCGTATTTAGATTTGAAATAACCCAATTGGCCTTACATCCTTTTAAGAAATTATAAACTTTAAAAAATTAATATATTGTTTAACCACGACATGTCATCGCCATTGGTCTACCTATAGCCACAACATGTTGTCGCATAGTTAAACCGATAGGCACGACATGTCATCGCCATAGTCGTACAAAATTATATTTCCCTCTTTTTTGTTTATTTTTTTCAGTTTCTTCATTACAAACAATTTAAAATAGTAAAGTTAGTAACAAAAATATTAAAATTTTACAATCTCAATTCATTTATAACACATTTCATATAACGTTTTAGAAAACATAAATACATGTTAGGAAATTGGTTAAAAGATTCTGATAAATAACCATCACCTTCATCACTTTCATCATTTGCATCATCTGCATCTTTGACCGAATAGTTTGAAATTCGTAATTGTGAGGGACCAAAATCAAAGTGAAATGATGCGACTTGGGAGTTAGGGTTTTGAGATAATATCATTTGTTGTATTTGTTAAGTAAATTGTTGACCCAACTGTTAAGTCAACTGTTGAGAAAGGGCATTTAAGTTTCTAGCAATTGTTAAAGTACTTGTTAATGTGTTGGTGCGTAATAAGGTGATACATTTTTCACTTTCCTACCACAACCTGAGTATAACCGTGCCTTTCTCCAAGTACACGTTTGATGCATTCCACCTCATCGATTGACTCATCACCACCGACCTCTTCCACTATTTTTTCTATACTTATTCTTAGTTTTATCTCGCAATAAGCAGAACAATAAACATACTGTAATTATTTTTTTTCTAAAATTCGGCAACATAACGGCTAGCTCTAAATGGGATAATCAGCATATTCAACTATAAATAACAATAATAACAATCTCCAAATTTCAATATACATACAATAATAGCAATCTATTTACCATATATGCAATCTACTTTAAATATCAATACAAGCAATGCACTCAAATTCTATATCAACACTTTACACAAAATAACAACTTACTAAAGCATACAAATGCAACTTTTTCACTTACGCGGTCTTCTTATGCACGAATATAATTTGTTTTGCCTTTTCTATTTCTTTTATCTTAAAAGAGTCAAGAAAACTACTATTAAGATTGCATCGTACTGTAAATGAATACTTAAAATTTTTGTTACATACTTATGGCCTTTTTAAGCATATGATTCACACCTATGGCAACTTGTATATAGTTGTTTTGCGATATATATATATATAATATATATATATATATATAGTATATTATATAATATATATATATATATATATTTATATATTTTGTATTTTTGTTGGAGCGGCATGAAAATCATGAAACTTGGTCTAGGAGTTTTGTGCTCTTTGGTGATAAAATAATTTTCTGCAAATAAAAATAATTGAATATAAATGAATAATAAATAAATACAAAAAGAGAAAACAATAAAGAGATTTACCAAAGAAATGCTTAAAAATTTAAAGTGTTTAAAAGAGAAAAAGAGTAATAAGGTTATTTTAAAGATTTCAGAAATATCCAAATGTTTTAAAGAGAAAAGATGGAAAGATTTCAATGAAAAAAAAATTAAGTCGTGAAATCGCCAAATCTCTCATAGTCTCTAAAGCATCATCTACTAATCGTCACGTGAGACACACATCAAAATGCAACGTCAGACTAGAAATTTGGTGAGATAGAAAGGGATGGACTCATAATAAACTCTTTATATAATCATGTTTCAAAACACATATCGCATATAATCATCATGTAGCACATTATACATCATAAACTCATAAACATCATATAACTCTTAAATATCATATAGGAAAAAACCCACCTTAAGTTGTCTTAGTAACTCATCACCTTTACTCCTTGTGACAACACGGTTTTGGGGTTTCTTGCTACATGCGTTAGTCAAGTCATGGGTGGAATGTACTCTAACAACACATCCACGGACACCTTTTTCATCCCTCATGTGAGCATGTTACTCTTATGAACCATGCACGGATCGTCGGCCTATTTTGTCTCTCGCATGAACATGATACTCTTATACCGCATGCACTGACCCTTGCCATTTTTCATCCCTACCCCCCGGTGAACATGGTACTCTTATGACCTATGAACATGGTAATCTAATGGAACATGTACGAACCTGTAACATCCCAAAAATACACTTGAATGTTTTTTGAAAAAATTATTTTCAATTTGGAAAATATATGGAGTTTCGAAATGGAAAAAAAAATAAAACTTAATGTCAAAATAGAAAAAAACTTAAAACCTAGTGTCTTTTGTGCATTTTTTTTCATTTTTAACACATGAGTATGCCATATCAGCATGCCATGTCATCGAAGTTAGCACGTCATCATGTCACGTCTGCAGGCAACCGGGTTGATCGGTTAAGTGGTCAGAATTGTAACAAACTGAAAATGTAATGTCCAATTTTAGACAAAATAACGTAATGTGAAAATTTAATTTTCGTGTAAAATTAGTAACTTTTGTTGTATTTATCCTACATATTTTGTAGCATGTAAGAAGTCAAAGCTACATTGACATTAATTAGATGAAATATGCTTTCATTAGGAAGTCGTGATCATATCAATTCCACTTGATCTTTCTTCTTTTCCTTTTATTTTTTGAATTTTTCTAATATTGTAATGAGTATGGTCCTTGAAGTCACGAATACGTAATGGACATACACATTGTTTGTCTTTCTATAATCCAACAACTTCATTAGACAACAAAAGAAATGGAAGGCTATATAGGGTTTTAGGAATTCTATAAACATGGAAATCAGGAGAAGAAAATATTACTTCGAACTTGATGCTATATAATTAACCTTTGCTTTGGGTTTAAACCCTAGCCTCTTAGATCTTTTCTTCTCGTTTCTCCCTAGTTTTTTGTTCTCATGTAGCAGTCTCAATAGGAAGGTGTATAGGGTTTTTTAGAGGTAGAGGATTGGATATGAATCAACAAGAAAATAGATAAAGGAACCAAGGCAAACCGAGGGTTGCGTGGATTCCTAAGGCTGCAAGGAGTACCAACTCCGCACCATGTGGTTTGTTGTTTTGGCATTTTCACTGCACGAGAGAATACCACACCATAGGTGTGGTTTTTGTAAAAGATTTTCCGGTGCGTCCCTATTACTACATTCTCTCTATCGTTTTTTTTTTCAGTTTTTATAATATAAATAAATTATATATACTATAAATTATAAATATTATATAAAAATTTATGGTGTTTAATTCTTTACAAAAGAGAATAATATTTGTATAAATATATTTTAAAAATAAAATGAAAAATAAGGGGAATTGACACATGACAATTTCTTAGGTTTTAACGAGAAAAAAGAAAATAAGGGAAAATGAGATAGCGTTCATATAACATAAAAATATGAATTATGAAAGATGTGTACAGCCTC